CTGTGGCTGGAACTTCCAATACTATGTTGCATAGAACTGGTGAGAGTGTGCATCCTGGTCTTATTCCAGAATTTAATGAGAAGGCTTTCAGCTTTTCACCATTTAGTATTATGTTGGCTGTGTGTTTGTCATAAATGGCTTTTATTATGTTGAGATATGTTCCCTCTATACCAACTTTGGCAAGAATTTTTATTATGAACTGATATTGAAGTTTATCAAATGCTCTTGCTGAATTTATGTGTTTTTTTTTCTTTTATTGATGTGTAATATCGCATTGATTTGCATATGTTGAACCATTCTTGTGACCCTGGAATGGATCCAACTTGATCATGGTGTATGATACTTTTTATGTGTTGTTGAGTTTGGTTTGCTAATATTTTGTTGGGGATTTTGTATCTATATTCATCAAAGATATTGTTGCTTTTTCTGTTTTAAAACTCATGGCAAACACCCCCAATCTCTGCCTCCTAGAGTTTCCTCTGATTGAATAACTTCAGTGTCTTTAAGATCATAATTCTTTACTCCAAAGTGAAGTGAAGAATTTGAAGAGAATCAGATGAGATATAAATGATCAAATTCCATCAATTCCTTGTTTAAGATTTTGTGATTATACTCAGTGGAGTAAATGTAATTTTGTTTCTAAATCAGATTTGCTGAAGCACTTTGCCTTTCCTGACAAATATTCTCCTGCAAACACTTCAGGTTTGATCCAGTAGCAAATATACCTATTGTTATGTTGTCTCTATCCTTGTCTTTACAGTGTGAGGGTGCTCAGTTAAGAAGGTAAGTTAAATATTCTAAAATAATTCCTTTGATACAACTAAATTTTCTGAACTTTGGAGTCTTTATTGACTGTGTTTTCTCTTCATTTCCATTTTTCACATCCCACATCCTGCCTATTCCTCTTCATCCTCAAATTTGCCTTTTTTTTGAGAATATCCAGGCCATCACCCTCCATCTCTTATCACCTCACGTGTGGACTATGACAACAGCCCCCCGACTGGCCTCCCTGACACAATTGTTTCCCTCCATCTAATTCTCCGTACCAGGTGCATGTTGCAGAGATTCTCCTAGCCTTATTTTTTATTATGCGCTCACATAGATTTCTGCCCTTGCTAGCCAAATTTGCTCATCAGCTAAATAGGACTTACTTATTTCCCCCTCAGTCTTTACATGTGCTATTCTCCACATTTGGGAAATTGCCTTTTTTTCACTACTTGTTCCCTCTGTTCCAAACTTAACTCTTGCCCAATTCAGGACTGAATCACCCCACCTCACTTATCAGCTCTCTGTGTATGATATTAATTTTTCTACACTGGACTGTGTTCTGCAAATACCCCTTTCTTCTTGCATTTGATGTGTAAAATACTTGAGAACAGGGACTTCAATTTTTTAAAAATATTTCTATCATAGTTTTTGTAGTGGAGAGTACACAGTGGGCATCTAATAGTCACGATTGACTTTAGTAATATCTGGAGAAATTTGTTTGATTAACTAGCAGTGAGCATTTGGGAAGACAAGCTTTGATGGGTGTAGGTGATTTTACAAGTTCTGATTTCACAGCAATTAGAGTGCTGAATAATCTTCTTAAATTGCCTATGGCTGATTTTAGTTCTAAAAAGGACAAATTTGATATGAAAGAGTTTGAAGTGAATTATTGTTTATCAAACAGCCCCGTATATTCATCAGAGTGCCTTGATGTTCAACACTGTGACCTCCTATCAAACATCTTAGAACAAAAATGCATGAGTCATAGAGAAATTTGAGCCAGACAATTTTCTACATTAAATTATCTCCCAGAAAAGAGCAACAACAATTGCAAGTGTTCAAACTTAGCTGGACACTATGGAACTATTTTCTGTCTTAACTTCACTCTGGTTTTATCAGATCACTACCTCACCTTGGAAAATGAATACAAGGAGCATAAAGATTTATATGTGCAATTTTCAGGATATTTCCCTTGGTCATTATTTAATCTTCTAGAAAACACTTGGTGAAAACCAGCTAATTTATTTAAAAATAAAATGCCAAAGGGCAGTAAATGCTTGAAACCAGTGGTTCTATATACTTGTAAGCCCTTCAACCACCAAGTGCATCAGAGAGTCTCCTTCTTTTACTTGCCATGATTTCCTTCTTTCTCACACCAGCCATTTTCCAACTTGTTACAGAGGTAATACATAGGATACTACTCATTTCCATGTTCTCTTGAAAATCTTGTATAAATTTCTATAAATTTCCTTCATAACTGAACTGTTTCTCCTCTCACTGAAGCCTATTTCCTACTTTTAAACAGCCACAGATCTTCAACAAAATATCAACTTTTCACATGATGAAAAGTTGGGTTTGTCTTATCAGAAGCCCTCAAGTGCCATTTTACCCATTTTTAAATGAGAGTGATTGAAAGCAGAACATATTTGGATCTAATTCAATTAAGACTTAGAGGGGATGAGAAGAGATACCTTCTTACGTCTTTTCAAGAACCATCCAGCTACCTTTCAGAGTCTCCAGTTAGATTGGAGCACATAGATTGCCAAACCTGCTGGATTTCACACTTTGTCAAATTAAAACCATGTATGTGTTGTCCATCTCTCTGAGCGTTGTTTATTTTTAATGCAGTTTTCATTTCCTATGTATCTATTGCTTTTGTGCATTTCTCACTTGTCTCATAATTTCTGACATTTTCAGAATTTTTCACCTTAAAATAGCCTCAATTTTAAAAAGTAAGCATACTGTTGGTGGATGAGCTATATAAAGTTGTTATGAATGTATGGGAACTAGTTACATCAGTATTTTTCTAAATTTCCAAAATCCATTTCAGTGAAAAACTGAGAAGAAAAATTTTTCCCACTGTGAAAGCAACTGGAAGAATGCATCATGTTCTAGACTAAATACTTATTATGTCCATATGGGCTATATCTTTTTAAAAAATCTCAGATGAAAATTGAATTTTGAATTGCCATCTAGAAATAAATTTTTATAGATAGTGTACACATTGGTTCCTGAAAATGGTAGAAAAGGTTTCTTGTCAAGTTCCCCAACACAAGTGTGAATGCTCTGTTTTTGACTACCTACTAGTAGTGAAAGGACACATTGTGGCCAGCCAACTCAAATTGCTACCCACGTTTAATCATTGTAAATAAGGAAGCAGAGAGACCCATGTTATATTTTCAGAACTGGCATGCTCAATACAGAACTATTAGTTTAAAAATACCACTGAACATTCTATTTGAATTAATCTAGACTTCTGTGAAAAACAAACTAATAAAAAGTACAATTGGTCACTTAAACATGTACTACTCATTTCATGCAGGTTATTAACTTAGTAATTACACATATCACTAAAGAACAATGAGAGTAAATACAACTTTGTAACACTTGGAAAACAGTTCAGAATCGATAAATTTCCATTTTGAAATACCTAAAGTTTCTACAGAAGCAAAAATCACTTTTCTCAGTGGAAAAAAATACATCTATGAAACACCTATGCGTTGGACAGTACTTTTTAAAGGAGCAACTAATTGTCCCACTGTGAAATGAACATGTATCACTGCTAAGGTTTCACATACTGTTGGTGCATAATGCATTTTCTGAGCAGCTGGATATAGAAAAGCAGCAGAAAAACAAGTACTTTGAACAAAACCCATGGATTATAGGGAATCAGTCATGTAAAGAGGTTGAAAGAAATAATCAAAACATGTTACCTAATGTTCTCTTACACATTTGAGTTTCACAATTACAAGGACTGGGAAAATTCTTACACACTGTGTACATTTGTACTTGTTTATATTTGCCCCAAAACATGACTTAAGAACCATATACAAAATGCCAGAATGAAACTCAATTAACAATTGATCCCCCACAGGAATCTTTGTGGAGAGCACACCAAAATTAATCGGAAAGAACATAAAGTAGTAATTCACAATAAATATTAGAATAGGGGCACATTCCTTTCAGCAAATTCATAATATGTTAGATATTCACAGGAATTTTCTGATATGGTACAGTCACAGTCACAATGTGAGGGTAGAGAAGTTTAGTCTATAAAATATACATATTGAAGCATCAGGAATAGAGATACTTTTGAAGGAGCCTTGTACACATGGCCAAGCAGATATTGTGTATGTACAGAATAGTCTGTTTCACAACTAAATTTCAGATGAGAATCACTGCAATTGCTGCTCTAACACTAGTAAACTTGAATCATTTAGTACTTCATCTGTGAATATTGTTTCATTTCTTTTCTACTGTTGACTCTTGCAGTCAATATTTATTTAAATTCAAACTCCAACGATGTTGAAATAAAAGTAGGAAGATGTGAGCATCTTCATATAAAGCTTATAGCAGGTCAAGAGATCATTTGGAAAAAATCCAAATCTGAATTTTTTAGCAAGCAATAAAATGCATAACTTAAAATGTGTTTTCAAATGTGTAAAACTTTGTTAATAGGCTAAAATGCCATAAGATTTGTTTAACACCATCCTAAAAGAACAGCCTATTCATTTGCTTAAGAAATGTACATTATTTATCTACCTACCAGTTTGCCTACAGAAGATGTGCTTCCCTAATAAAACTAAAAACTCTCATTATGAGTGTTGATTTAGTACACAGAAGTTGTCCATTATGTTGAAGAAGTTCTAAACGTTTCAATCAGATTTTTTCTTAACTGATCTTCCTCTACAAACAATCTTCCACTTGGGATGCCTCAACACTTCTTTCTTGATAATTCCTGATTTTTGGTTACTCTATAGAAGTTCTCTTTTCCCCTTAAAACTTAGTTCAGAAATTTCAAATTCAGTTAAAGTCTTTAAATTTCCTGCTTTCAAATAACATGTAAATACTGAAATATTCATAAATATTAACTTACCTACCAAACTTGCAGTCTAAGTGGTATCATAAAACCTACTCTATAGAATAGAATTTAATATTGTTTTCTTTTAAGGAAGAAATCAAAACTGTACATTGGAACAACGTACTATACTACAAAAGCAGGTCCTTCTATCCCCCCACTACTCTGGAAATGTAAACAAAAAAAATTAGATACAAAAGTGATTTCTGTGCCTTTTTCTTTGAACACCTTTTCAGCACCTCAATGTTATTAGGTGTACTTTTTGCTTGGTATAGCAGAAATTTTTATGCTCACATAGCTGTTCAGAAGACTTCAGATTTTCCGCTACCAAATATCACTGGTGAAGCTAAGCTCTTTGGATGATAAAGGTAGCAGGGAACTGTTCCTATGAAATTCCTGGGTATCTTTCAGGGCATTATTAAGGGGTAGCTGTCCATTGAGTAGTGTCAGAGGCAGGTTACAATAGGTGTGGTGGTTGCCTAAGGAAGGTACTGGCAAGGTGGTGGTTGGCATCTCGTGTTTATAACCTCTGCAACAGTGCCTCATTTGCATCGAATCTGAATGGTGGAAATCTGGGAGGTCAGCTTGAGATGACACCAGAGAGGCCGAGGTACTGGTCATGGCAATAGATGGTATAGGCTGGAGTTCTCCAAAAAGTCCTTGTTCTGCGGAGTCCAGAACATGACACCGAGAAAGCATTTCTTTTTTCCTGATGGGCATTTCATATACTAAGTGCTTCCAAAACTTAGAATTTAATTTGCTGCTCTTGGGTCCCTTCCACTTGATCAAGGACAGAAGTTTGATGCTGCGCTTTAGTGATTCCACTTCCTGGCAATTCACCTTCCCCTTTAATTCTGTACATTCAATCAAAATCACTTTGATTTCTCCACTGACTAGCATGTTATGGAGTCTGCTTTCCAATTCGAAAACACTCCATCCTCGTCTGAGAATATAGTCTGGAGTTAGCACAATAATAAGTCTTCTGCTTTGCTCAACACATCTTGTGAGATCTTCAATGTAGGCTACAAATCACAGAAAGAGAGAAAAAGTAAAACAAAGACATTTCCAGTCTTTAAAGCATTAGGTTTGCACCCTAGTATAGCAAAGATCCAGTCTTTCACTAAGGTACATCACATTTTCTTTTCTTGTATTGCACACTCAGAAGGCTCGTTGCCTTAAAAATAAAAATGAAAAAAAAATCTTCTAATACTTTTCTTTCCCCTCATCATTACTTACAGTGTTCTGTTAGCTATATAAACTCTGACTTCTTAAGAGCTTAGGTGTAGTTCAGTTATTTTTATTTACTTAATCATTTAATTCAAGGCAGGCTTCAAGGCTAGTACTCTTAAGTGAACAAGCAATCAGCGGGTTGATGAAAAGAGAAATGGAACCTTTTAATGAAGGTCACTGTATTTACGGGTTTGGTTTGCTTTTCCCCCAGTTTCCAACTACTAAACAAGTAGGGGGTCTATGTATATATAATATATATATATATATATTATATATATATATAAATATATAAATGCTTCAAAGGTAATGTGCTAGAGATGGTGGAAAATCTCTTCTACAATCCTAGCTTGTTTCTCAGAATACCTTCTGTTCTTTGCAACCTTACATTCTCCATTTTGCCCTTCAAACCCGGAGGTAGGGAAGTGGTGTGTGTGTGTGTGTGTGTGCGTGTGTGTGCCCATGAGTTTAATCTGAACCAGCTGCTCTTTGTTCAGAGGAGGAGTGAGGGGTGGAGTCAGAGGTGGGGGGTGGTGTGGAAAGAACAGTAAAGGGGGAGGAGTCTATCAACTGAGAAGTCTTTGCTCTACTTTGTGGAACAATTCTGAAAGTGAGGTGAACAAGTTATGTCCTTTTCCTAGTAGAAAAACACTCAACGAACTCTAGATTTGTTTATGCCATGGAATAATCCTTTTGCAACCGTGCTTCCCAAAGTCTTATCCGCCAAAAAGGGAAACACACACATGTGTTAACAAATGGAGACTTGGACACAGGTGCTGCAACAGAGAGCTGTCTTTACTAAGCAGAGCACAAGGCCTTGTCTAATGTACAGTGCCCTCTAGCAGAAGCAGTGCTTACAGAAGCATAGCAACATTTGTCACTGCAAATCTGCCCAAGGTTACAGACTGCTTTCAAGGAGTCACGTCCAGTACACAGTGAGGGGCCACCAAACAGCCCAGTACAAGCCATTTGAAAAGAGAAACTTATTTTACAGATGCATATTTTACAGATGATCTCTCTTTTCCAGGGTTTTATTTCTACCATTTGGCAGCAAGAACACTTTCACAAGTGAAAAAGAGCAAATTTTCTATACACCCTACAGATAAACAAAAAACTTTTTGAGAGATACACAGAGAATTGCCCATTTAACAATTTGTTGTTACTGCTGTTTTGGTTTTTACTTAATACATTTCAGGACTTTCTCATGCAGTAGTTACAGAGACTGTATCTGAGGGAATAAGGCAACTTCTAAGTGGGGAGTGAACCCATTAAGAATTTTATGCATTTTCTTTTAGAGATCACGTTTTCAAGGAAAAAAATCAGCATTGAAATCTGCAAAAAATAAAAATGAAAACAAAAAACCAAACAAAAATACCACACAAGTAGCAATGGGGAAGTTATCACTCTGTAATTGTCATTTAGAGAACTGGTGAAACAGAATGGAAGGAAAGGTAGAAAGTTTCAATAGAGTGGAAAAATATTATCCCAATGTATCAACAGCTCTGACTCTTCATTTTCTTCCTTTCTTTCTGCTCCCAAAAAGAAAGAAGTTATGTGGGAAGCTTCATCATTAGAAGTTGGATCTGTAAGATACAGTAAAATAAACTATCATGCATCTTTCCCATTATTCTTTTCACCTTTCCTCCAAACAAAATGAAACAAAACCAAACCCCAAACTTATACATGGTATAAGTGCAGGAGTCCATGAAAACACAGTTTTACCAGGTTATGTATGAGTTAATTGTTATTTTTACAGAAGAATTCCTTACCAAATGATTTACTGAGGAATTATTCCAAGTAGCATTCGTCCCTCATTAATTGTAGCTTTACATTTAATTTTTAAAAATTGATCTGTACAAACCTTGGCAGGAGCACATTTGTCACAGAAACTATACCTCTATGAACAACGCTGTTTCTATGTGTTGGGATGTAATTTATTTTTAAAATATACTTTTAAAAACAAAAGGTATAGCTATACATATCTCTATCCATTTCAAGAAAATTACAACTCAAGTGTTCAGTCATAAGAGAAACTATATACATACACACTAATGAATTTGACTGGGAAGTCATAGGCTTTGGCTTTATTATCCTCTTTCTTGATTGGGGAAGGGAACAGGGTACAACATTTTTCCGCATTAATATTGTTCTCCCCCTTCACCATTCTATTACACTTTGCCATTTGACAGCTAAGCAGAATGCAAAATTTAGGGTTTGGGGGGCTTCTTAGAGATTCATTAAACAGAATTTTCACTTGCCCCCAGAAAGAATGCCTGTCAGGACAGATCCCACTACACTCAGCTGCACAGGGTGTGGGTGTTGAAGGGAACCTTGGAGAGAGGGAGTGGTCCCTGTCTCCTGCATACTACACTGGCTGTGCTTATCCTGGCAAAGCCTAGTGGAGAGTTGAGGCAACCATCCAGATAATTCCGGCTGAAAACCTGCTCTGGAAGAAAAAAAGGTCTGAATTATCCTGGTTTGCCCTATATATACATTAATCATATGCACTGGAGTCAGTCAGTCAGTACATCTAAATTTTCCCTGGGTAGACACAGCCCAAGTGTCCCAAAGAAAACATGAGCCATTTTCTTGGGCCCTGAATTTCGTGTTCCATTTCACTTGGTGAAAAACCAAGTGGAAGTTTTCAGATGTGAAGCCCACATTTCACTTCTTGGGATGGTGATCAGTGGCTGGGCAGCAACCTCAATGTTTGAAAGCAGCTGGGGAGGTGCCGCTAAGAGCTGCCTGGCTCTCAGGAAAAGAAGGAGAGACTGTGCCCTAGCTTCCATATTCTGGCTTGTTCTCTCTGTTTTTCTATGTTTTTTTTCTTATTCTCACCCCCTTTGCTCCTCTTTCTTTCTCCATTTCTTTTTTTTTTCTTTTCCTGTGCTGTTTCTCTTGTCCTTTTACCTCCCTCTTTGCTTTCTTTCTCACTTTTTTCTCCCTTCCCCTGTCTTACTCTCCCTTCCTCTTTTGCCTATCTCCCTTTGCCCCCTTTCTCCCTCCCTTCCTAAATCTTTTCTTTCTGTCTCTTTATCTTTGGGAAAAAACAAGGACCTAGATATCATGAAAAGTATAAATAAATTAGCAAGGGACCCAACAGGTAGAGTTAATATTTTTTACTTGCTAATCTTTAGCCAGGCAGTCGTTGCTGGCTCCTACACAGCAAGTGCCCAAAATAATTTTCCCCTTACCCTGGGGTTGCATGTCTGTATCCAATGACTGTGAATTGGAGCCTGATCCATTAGGACCATGTCCTGTTTTTGTATGGCCTGTGAGCTAAGAATGATTTTTTAAAACATTTTTAAAGGGTTGTAAAAGAAATAAAGAATATGATGCAACAGAGACCATATATAACCTACAAAGCCTAAAATATTTATTCTCTGGACCTTTACAGAGAAAGGTTGCCACCCCTGAATTAGAGACCAATCAGGATGTTTAGGTTTGGAAAAGTTCCAAATAAACTAAGCAGAAACAGGCATCAAGTTAAGGCATTGCTGGTCCATAGCTAGTGTAGTCCATGACAGGCAGTGGTGTTTGTCATGGTAGGGCTGTGGTTTTGTGGGAGACATTTTAGAAAACTTCAGAAACCGTTTTAAAAGGTTTCTTACCACGAAGAGATAATAAAGAAATGTTTTTCAAAAAAAAAAAATCCCTAAATCCACAGCACATAAGAATACTCGCTAAATCTTGCCCTGACTTGTTCAGGCAAATTTAGCAACTGAGTAGCAGGAATCCCTTAAAAGACTCTTTTTTTCCACATAAAAATATAAAGTATCCCTTAAATGAAAGGTCATTATTTCTTTGCAGATTTTAGTTTGAAGTAACTTACGATGACAGAAAAAACTAAAGAGGGTTGTGTCTGACAGCATTCTGTTTCTCTAAACAAGGCTATGAAACCACACTAGATTATCAGCCATGAAACAAAGCTATTACACTTAACCTATTTGTGATCTTCACAATTTTGTAAAAAAACAAACAAAAAAAACGGACAGTTGTATAAACCAAAATTCCAGTGTATTTAGAAAAATAGAATTCAGTCTACAAAAGTGACTTGAAAACAGGACACATTAACAAAGCAAAATGTAAACTGAAGGAAGAAATAAAAGGACAAAATAGAAGCAGAAAGAATATAATGGCAGCCCCAAGAAATTGCTTCTAATGGGGTGTATATTCTTTCCCAAAAGAACTCAGTACTCTTAAATGCCAGGCTTTGAATCTACTGCAGATGTAGGCAGAAGGACAAGGTGAAAACACTCTCATTCATGAATTTCTATGTGGTCTTGCTACTGCCTACTAACCATATGATTTATCAAACTAATCAATTAGCTACTTATAAATTATCTTTGTGTTGACACTTCTACTTATGTCAGGATCATTATTAGGGGCAGATAGCATATTAAAAATTAAAAGACAAATACTTAGTCTGTAAACAAAAGCATAATTTATTACTTTGCCAGGTTCAAATAATAGAATCTTGGTAGGCTTATATTCACAGCTATGTACAACCAATATCAGTTAAACAGAAAAATCATTAGGGTGAGATAGGACGCATCAAAACTGAATAATACCCCACCAATTTTAGTGAATATTAGTTAATTGATAGCTATAAATGGTGATATTTATTAAACCTATGGGTTAATATGTCAATACTTAAAATCAAGACAATTTCTGACAGTGATTGATCCACTCCTATGACTGGTGAGGAAAAACCAGCAAAAATAATACAGGTTTCACATGTATCAAAAAAAGTGTATTACTCAGCACTAAATATTTGGTAAAAAATTATTAGACC